ATTTTCACGAATGAAACGACGTGATTGTTTATAAAATTGTCTATATTTTTTTCTCTGTTTCATTCATTCCCTAGTTTATAGTTTACAGTTTCTATAATTCATGTCAACATTTTTTTTTCAAATTAAACTCTTTATCTCTATTGTTGCCTCGAAGATATGAAAATGGTAAAAAAATTTAAAATAATACATTATATAACATAAATTTTGTTCTCAATGAATTATTTAAGAGTATTAATTACAATTTTTATTTTATATTTAATTTTTAATTTAGCACGCACAACGTATATTACAAGATGTAATGATGTAATAATTTTAAGATGTGTACTCCTATAAAATATTCTGTTACTTAACCATTCAACCTATGATATTTGTTTTTATCACAAAGCTTTGGCCAGCCAATGTAGCGCTCAAGAGCTTGTTAAAGTGTTGAACGACTTGTTTGCTCGTTTCGACAAGCTCTCTGCAGAGAATCATTGTTTACGTATCAAATTACTTGGAGATTGTTACTATTGCGTGTGTGGACTACCGACACCCAGAAGCGATCATGCTCATTGTTGCGTCGAGATGGGCTTGCACATGATTAAAGCAATAAGAGACGTGCGGTACACAACAAAGGTATGCAACTAAACTTTATATAATGTTTCTCCAAGTATTTATTTAAATTTGCACATTTTAAGTTTAAGTGTCTGTGACTTTAGTTTATAAACAGCAATAGGATGAAAAGAGTTGTATCAATTTGAATATAATTGCTAGCTATGAAAATTCAGAAAAGCATAACTTTAATTACTGTGATACACATGTAGAATAAGCATGTTCCCTTTAAAATCGATTATAGGTTGCAATTTATTAATAAGAAACCTTCACAGCATACGATTCGATGTTAATTCCAGTTTTTTGCAAAAAAATAAGGTGTGCTCAGAAAATAGAAAAAGAATTGAATATGTATACATGTTGATATTACTGTGATATGTATACATGATTATATGTATACATGATTTATTACTGTGAGTGTCCATGTATATGAATTTGGATACATTTAATAATATAAAAAAAACTACCTTTTTCATTTGTACATCTTAATTCAGAATAATATAGAATAATCTATAGAATAATAAAAATAAAATATAAAATACTTCCTTCTATACTTGAACTTTCATTTAGGTCGATCTAAACATGAGGATAGGAATTCACAGTGGTTCGGTACTGTGTGGTGTGCTTGGACTTCGAAAATGGCAATTCGATGTCTGGTCTTACGATGTAACGTTGGCTAATCATCTCGAGAGCGGAGGAATACCTGGGTAAAAGTTATCATTCCCGGATTTATAACGAATATAGACTATCTAACGTGTCGCACAATATCTGTTGTTAAAAATTAGTAAAAGCCTTATTAAAATGATATATCTAATGAGAGAAAAATTTGATATTTCAGGAGAGTACATATTTCAGAAGATACCTTGAACTGTTTAAACGACGTTTACGAAGTAGAGCCAGGAAACGGGACCGAAAGGGACAATTACTTGAAGGAGAGGAACGTGGTGACTTACTTGATCAAACAGGTAGAACCTCTGAGGTCGAGGCGCCGGTATTCTTCACGACCTAAGATATGGTCCGAGGAGGACGCGAACAAAAGTAAAAAGAGCTTCAAGCTGAACAATCCGTTGGCTGCGAACAGCAGTGCTCCGAATTCGTCCACTGACGACGACATTGGCGTGGATTGGACACCGGAGATACCATTCGAGAACGTTTGTATTTTTAATATTATCCTCATTTGGAAAATTTGTTTGAATCTCCATCTTCGACTTGGAGGGAACCTCGAGAATAATAATGTTACGCTGTTTGCACAGTTGAATACCGCGACCTCGGTCAGCAATTTGGAGTCGGAGTATCTCGAGGAAGAGAATGGTTCGGCGAAAAGCACTAAGGTTGCGTCTGCTACGTCCGCCGAGAAACTGAGGGCCGCAGGTCTTGAAACCGCAAGTAACAAGCGCATGAGATTGGCGAACATAAACGCTTGGACCTTGCGTTACAATGACGAAAGCCTAGAATCGAAAGTGAGATCGATATTCACGTATATCACGGACGAACATACGTTTGCTTGTTTCTAAATAAATTACATTAAACTATTAGCGATTTTAGATATTAGCGATATTACAGATGTCTTTTTGTTTGTTTACAGTTTGGCCAATTGCGAGAGGATATGTTTAAATCTAACATGATTTGTTGCTTTGTCGTGTGGATATTCATTGCGATTTGTCAAGCAGTGATATTGCCAGAGTAAGTGATCATCATGTTTATTAATTAAGTCGTTATTCGTACAGCGAAGATACTCATTTAGTCACGTGTAGAACAAACAACGAGATAAAAATTAAAAAAAAAAAAGTGAAAGCAAACAACAACTGAGATGAGACAAGTCAGATAATTAACAATGTGTTAACTTGAATTGATATTATTTCTTTTTATAGTTGCGTTATTCTTTTGGGCTCGTTGCTGGCAACGACGCTCATTTTGGTATTGTCGTCAATCCTGGTCATGGCGGAGGAGTTCAAAACCTTGCCAACGTACTTGCAACATGCTTCCTCGATGTTGGTCCACAACAAACAGCATCGGACGATCTTTATATGCAGCGTGATCAGTTTGATGGCTCTGACGTCGATAGTCGGTGTTCTAGCGTGTCCAACGTCGATTCGACGATATCCTGAAACTCTGGAGCTGCAGCAGCAGCCGTTAGCGAATCCAACGCTGCAGCCAGAACGGCTGGTGGCACCGACCGACGTTAGTCTCGATCAATTTATTCTGACGTTTCTGGAAGCGGCCCTCCACGACGAGCCCTCCTCAGATGAACAGAAAGACGTCTCTTCCAAAGAGAATCAAACAGCGGTTGACGCTGAACTGACAAGGATCCTCAACGACAGAGCCAATCCGGAGAAAGGTCGAAGAAGAAGAGAGTTCTTCAGGTTTTATAGACAGAAACAGCGATATTCAAACTTGTGTTTTGAAAGGCATTTATAGAAGATTTGCTCGTAATCGTAGGGACGAAGACATGGTCTTGAGGAAGATACCATCAACGCCGGAAACGGAACCTCGCGCAGAATCTATGTACTCCGTAGACTACGTGGGGGAGGACGACGTAGATTTGGAGACCACCTGCGTACGACCGGAATACATCGTGTTCACGTGGATTCTATGTCTGATTGCGTTGGCCTCTGCGCTGAAATTGTATTATCTGGTGAAGACGGCTCTTGCCACGATCATCGTTGCTGTTTACGCGGTGTTGATTCTCGTGGTCTGCAAGGACTTTTTCTCGATTCCCGACGAAGAGAAGGATTCGTAAGTCCCACGGAGATTCATTTCAGTTTCATAGTCGTAGAAACACAGTGGCGGTAATAACGGCTTTCGTTGTTTTAGAGTGACGATACCTCTCTCGGCACAGATGCTCACGTTTATGTTAGTATTCTTGGTGATGGTTACGTATCACGGTAGACTGGTAGAAGTAACGTCCAGGTTGGACTTCCTTTGGAAACAGCAGGCCGAAAGGGAGCTAAGCGACATGATTGAATCACGGCACAATAACATGCAGTTGTTGAAGAACATTTTACCGGACCACGTAGCTCATCACTTTTTAACACAAGAGAGAGCACCAGAGGTGACGAATATGACTTGAGCTACTGGCTTCTTACCACTGGTTAATTTTATAAATATTACAATTTTTTCTTTTTTCGCAGGAGCTGTATTCTCAGTCGCGCGACAAAGTTGGAGTGATGTTCGCTAGTGTGCCAAATTTCACGGAGTTCTACTCGGAGGACGTTAACAAAGGAATGGAGTGTATACGTTTACTGAACGAGATTATTGGTAATACACTTGACGAAGAACATTGGAAATTCAAGAATGTGTATTCACACTTCAATAACAAATCTTTATAGTCGAGATATTTCTTTTCCAGCTGATTTCGACGAACTTTTGGACGAAAATCGGTTTCATTGCATTGAAAAGATAAAGACAGTCGGAGCAACGTACATGGCAGCTTCCGGTCTCAATCCTTGTCAAAATGTAATTGTACACACTATATAATGTTCAAATACCTTTTCTCATATTTCTTTAATAATACAACGACGAAATGCTTTGATCATTATAGATTTTATAGATAGATTTTGGCTAGATTTCACTTTACTTTTTGAATCTTCTTCTTCTCCCTTTTTTAGGACAAAAATAAGGATGACATGGAGCACGTGTGTAGACTGGTGGATTATGCGGTAGCAATGAGACTTCGTCTTGAGGACGTCAACATACATTCGTTTAATAATTTTGACTTGAGAGTAGGCATTAGTTGTGGTCCACTGGTAGGCGGTGTGATCGGTGCTCGTAAGCCTGTATTCGACATTTGGGGTAACACGGTGAACTTGGCTTCACGTATGGATTCTACAGGCGTTATGGGGAAGATACAAGTCCCGCAGGACATTGCTAGGGTAACTGCCAAAGCATGCGAGAAAGAAAGTAGTTGTTCGTTACACACGTTACAATTGTCTGTCTAATTTCAAATATATTTCGAAATAGTTCTTGGAATCGAGAGGATATCAAACTCAGAAAAGGGGTCTTATCGAAGTTAAAGGGAAAGGAGCAATGGAGACGTATTTCGTACTCGACAAGGGAACGCTGCAACAACAAGGCACAACCAAGCAAACAACAAGATGCCGAAGTCTTGCAGCAGTTGTTTATGGTGTTGTTCAAGCACGTCGTAAGCAAATGCGAGGACTTAGAAGGACATAAGTATCGTATTCACGTCAGTATTTCTTTTTGGTTCATTGGTGCCTAGTTATGTACAAACGATTCACCTTCAAATTAGCAGTTAAATTAAATTGTAAGATAAGACTTAAAATGAATGATCCCAGTAACTCTTTCATTTTTTGAAGGTAAAAGGATATTTTTTTTTTTTTTTTGAAGAAATCATTTGGTTTAGAGGAGAAAGATTTCAGTTTAAATTCATGTTTTCATATTTCTTTACTTTGTTATTGAATCATTGACAATTTTATTATCGAGACTGTGATTAATTTAATCTCAAATCACTTATTTTTATTAAATTCATGCTTGGTAATCAATTTAAATGTCGTATAAAAATTTTCTAATTATAGAGGTGATTAACAATAGAACGAAAAGCTTGTTTGAAAAAATTTAAATGCAATATTTCAGTCGAATTTAATTAAAAAATTATCAGCTAAAAATATTTCTTCTCATTCTAAATATAAGAGTTATTAGATAATCCATTTTAAGTAATTTGTCAACTGTTGAAGTTCAAAAGACGACGAGCACTTGTAGTTAACATATTACCCAATATACACTTTCTTTTTACTGGAGTGTTGGGTAACATGTTAATTAACATGTTTTGACAATTACTTTATTATTATTGACTAGTGTTAATTAATTTCGTTTTGTATTCATAATTATTAACTTCTCTTCTGGCAACTCTATAGGAACATAATTTTTACTTTCATTCTGATATTGCATTATTTAAGAATACTTTATAATGAATGTAAAAAATATCATTTATAAACAATTAGAAAGTAGCATGATCCATTTCATTTTATAAATGGATATATTTCAAAAAGTATTTTGAATTAAATATATGAATAAGAGAAACATTTATATTGAGAATAGGAGTATTAAGAATAAATCGTTTATGCTTTATTCGTAGTAAAATTCACTTTACTTTTAATTTTTTTAAAGTTAATAAATTTGTTTTAATATGTTTTTAATGAATAAAAGAGACACGGATCTTCAATGTTCATACAATGATTATGTCTTTAATTCATTGTACTTTTTATTACATATCTATTTATGCCAAGGTAAAAATGGATCATTTTATAGACGATTAATTTATTTTCCTTAGCTACAAATAAAATCACAAAAGTCGTTTCCATAGAATGGAAGTTCTGATGCAATTTTTGCACGGATGAAAGACAGACTTGGCTGAGAAATCAGTCGATGCCAAAAATAGTACCTATCTAATCATTAAGTTTAAAATTTTATATGATACTATAGAAATTTTACGATCGATCAGTTTCACGTAATTAATGAACTCTTATACATTCTCAATTTTCTCTGCTTCTCTAATTACACTTCCGTTCTATATTTATTAATATAATTAAACAAATTCCGATATCTGTAAATATTAATTCAATATGTGAAATAAATGATAAATTCGAGAATATATGCGATAAGTTAAATTATAGAATGACATTGTTGATATAGTAATAAATAAGTTAACAACTAAAAAAAAAGGCTAAAATAATCGTTTGAAGCATATTATACACATATATATATATATACTTTTATATATGCATACATATGCATATATGTACATATATGCCTGCTTCATGGTGAACATGGTGACGAAGGATCTACAATTTTTTCGTCTTGAGTTTCGCATGTAGGAAATAAAAGTTTCGTGTAGTAGGCAGTATTTTTTCTTCCAGGGGGAGAAAGTCAATTTAATAATAATTGCAGGGCAGCAGCGTTCGCGTTGATAATCATAATGTACAGCACAGTTGAGTTCTGTGTAACTGTATATTACATCATTATGATAAACACAATATATTTTAATTAACCGTAATAATAATCCATGATAATAATAGTCGTAATGATAATAATAAGGCTAGCTACAGGCGTGATCTCCCGCGTGAAGAGATCATCCAATCCAACTGTACACTTTTACAACGTACTTCATAATAATAATCTAATTACATTAATTATAATTAGGTAATCATTACAATCTGAACCTAATTAGAAGAATGTTTGCGAC